TGAGATGAAACAATGTGTCTGAGTTGATCTAATGGAAAACCCATGTGATCTGTCAACCTTCACCCAACTCACTATCAAAAGTTGAAACAAAAAGCAAAACCATTCCCCTGCCTCCGGCAAGCACGGGGACCAGCACTCCACTCTGTAGAGTGCCATCCATCCACTCCACACCCAGGGGCCTGCCTTCGGCTTTCCTAGTCCTTTGTGGCAGAGTCCCTGGGCGACGACACACACCACAACACTCCCAGGGGCCTGACAACACTCGGGGTCCCCGCCATACTCTGACAGATACACTGGAGAGCCCTGGACGGAGGGAGACGGGTGGTCTCAGGGGAAGGACCCGGCCCAGCTCTTACTGGGCTCTGCAGGATCATGGAGACCCTCTTCTTCTGCTCCATCATGTTGAAGTCCTGGCGGAGGTCGGGGGCCATGTTCCGCTCTCGCAAGTACTCGGGGTTGTTCTCATCCACCCTGTCGAAGTACCTCTCCTTGTGCGGGGCTGTAGTCGGCGGTGGTGAGGTCACCACGGCCGCTCGAGTGTCACCATTCATTGCACAGTCGTTCGCAGCTCCTGCAGAAGCAAAAGGCAAGCACAGTTATGCCGAGACAATGTCCCCAGGTGTTTCCCACAGCGAGCGGGCTGCTGGGTGGCCTCAGTGGCTGCAAATGATCAATTCCGCTTGTGTCCTGACCATTGTTCTTCTGCAAACAAAAAACATACAACGATTAAGTCCTCTGACAAAGGAAGTAGACCCAGAGGTCACATCTTGGCCCCTGAGTCCCCATGAAGTCCCCATGGCCGGGATCTGTTGACAGCAGCCCACTTCAGGACAATTGTACTCTCGGCACTACTCCACAGAGCACCAGCTGGGCTCTGCAAATGAGCCTCCCCCCACCCTCCACACACACACACACACACCTCCACAGGCCAGCAGACAGGCCCAATCTCTGGGACACGGACCTAGCCAGCGTCAGCTTTGTGGGCCAGGAACAATGGCAGGTGGACTAATGTCAAAATGCCAGAGATGCCTAGATGGCAGGATCACACAAGAGCTAACAAAACCTGGCTCTCAGTCCATCCTAAGCCCTACCTTGCATTTGAAACTCAGTCCACACCCACCAAATGGCACACTGCCTGGCTATGGACCAGCGCTCTTAACACCTCCAATGTGCACCACTGCTGCTGGGCTGGTTTCCACTCAGCAACCCTGCGGGGCTGAGTCCTCCTGGAAGCAGACGACCTCAGCTTTCTCTCACAGAGTGACACCCTGCTGTCACAAACCAACGCTCAGCTGTGCTGGGCACTTGCAGGATAAAAATGAATTTGGCATGGTCCACCCTTTCAGAGAGCGGGAGAGACAGTGGCTGAAGCCACCATGTGAGAAGACCTGTGAGAGGACCCTCTACCCCCGGTGTAAACAGGAAGAGCATGGGCAGAGCAAGGCTGACAGCCAACACCTAGAACCAGAGTTGTGATGGGCATGAAAGGAGAGACCACACGGCCAGGGTGAGACCCATCCTCAAAGCCACAGGCAGGAAGCCTGCATGAGGGAGTGGCGTGCTCTCGTGCGTGCAGTGCCAGTTCACACAGAACAGACAGAAGCCCCAAGAGCAGAGGAGATGGCAACAAAACAGGAACCAGCACCCAGCTCGGGGTCTCTGCCCACCCACCTACCCAAGGGCACAAGAAGATTGAGGAAAAGCAAAGATACAGGGAAACAACTAGTCCAAAGGGCGGCAAGACCACCTGAGCCCCAGCCTCCGCCACCTTGAAAATCTAGATGGTGCTGGGCTATCACTACCAACCACTCAGAAAGGGATCACACTTGGGGGGCCTGGGTAGGGTGGGAGAAAAGGGGGGAACAAAACCCAATGTGTAGGATTACTGGTCTGAAATCCCCGAAACACTAGACAGGTCTGTCTGGGACTGAAGCCACCCCACCACCACCACCTCAAATTTCAACCTAACGACAGGCAGGTGAGTAGTCTTCCCAAGAGCCCACTATAGGAGAGCCAGGGCAGCATGTGCTAGAGAGAAAGCTCAGTGGGCAGGAAAGATGGATTCAGGGAAACAAGAAACGCAGGGACGTGCCACTGTGAGGAGTGCAATCAACGGCACAAAACGTGGGTGAGTCCTTGACTGAAAACCAATATGCCCTGTCAACTTTCACCCACTTGACATTTAAAAAGAAAAAAAGGAATCGCTGCTTTCTGATGGCACATTTTGCCCCACCAGCCCCACCACTGGCCCACCTTCAGAGGGAGAAGTGGGGGCTGAGTTTTAAGTTCCTGAGGCCTCACCAACACACGAGTGGCAGAGCAGAGTCAGAACTTGAACCCAGGACCTTGGCTCATCTGGGGCAGCACAGAGGGTGAGATGAACCCTGGGAGGAGCCAGCAGGCATCCTGGGTCCTTCGGCTCAGCAGGGCGCTTTCTACTCAGGGAGTCCTCGCTACACTCTGACAAGAATCACTGCTACACTTGTGAGCTGGGCAGAAACCTGCACACCAGTTACCTGGATGGAAACCATCAGACACACTATTACACAGATGACCAGTAAGAGATGCAAGCCCACTGTGTGCAAAGCTGCCTCACTAAGCTTCACAAACTCTGTTCTGCTGGTCTACTCCAAATGACAGTGCGTACCTCTGGATGATAGGCAAAAAAGATACCAATCCCTTGAACAAATGTCTTCAGAAAGTTCCCACAAACCAGACTGCAAGCCTGGCTTTTGGAAGGAAGTGGGAGAGAAGGTATTTGGCTCGATGCCGCCTCAGCAGGCGGGGTGCTCCCGCTGTGTTGTCAGTGTCCCACGGCCCATGTCGATTCCAGAGGAAAAAGCCGCTGTCAGCGAGCCCCTGTCCTGGCCTGGCTCTTTCATTAACCTGTCATTGTCCTGCAATGACAACAAAAACTGTCTTTGTTCTTGTTCTAGAGTTTTTCTGGAGTCTTCCAAAATTTGTTTGCTGAAATAAAACTTCATATTTCACCCCATCAGCAGGGTGGCTCTCCAAGACAGAGTTTCCTATGCCCAAGCCTACTGATGCAGACACTGTGCTCATCCATCTTAGGGAAGGCCTTCCCTTTTTTTTTGCTGGTCCTCCACTTAACCAAGCACGATGACCTTCTCCAGGGACTGGTCTCTCTTGACAAATATGTCCAGAAGTATGTAAGATGAAGTCTCGCCATCCTGCCTCTAAAGAGCACTCTTCTGGCTGTACTTCTTCCAGGACCGAATGGTTTCTCCTTTCAGCAGTCCAGGGTACTTTCAATGTTCTTCTCCAGCACCACCGTTCAAACGCATCGGCTCTTCTTTGGTCTCATTTATTTGATGTACAACTTTCACATGCATATAATGCAATGAAGAATGCCATGGCTTTGATCAGGCGCACCTTAGTCTTCAAAGTAACATTCTTGCTCTTCACTACTCTAAAGAGGCCTTGGGCAGCAGATTTACCTGATGCAATACGTCTGGATCTCTTGACTGCTGCTTCCATGAGCACTGATTATGGATCCAAGTTAGATGAAATCCTTGTCTTACCTCAACCTTTCCTCCAGTTAGCATGATGTTGCCTACTGGTCCAGTGGTGAGGATCTTGGTCTTCCTTACACGGAGTTGTCATCCATCCTGAGGCTGCCATCCTTGATCTCCATCAGCAAGGGCTCCAAGTCCTCCCCACTGTCAGCGAACACGGCTGTGTCACGTCCATATATCAGCCTATTAACAAGCCTTCCTCCAACCCGGATGCCACACTCTTGTTCCTATAAGCCAGCTTCTCTGATGATTTGTTCAGAATACACATTGAACAAGTATAGTGACAGGATACAACCCTAATGCGCATCTTTCCTGATTTAAAACGATTTATTTATCTATTTATTTTACGGCTCCTGATTTTTTTTTTGGGGGGGGGGGATGAGGAACTAATGAGAGTACATCTGGTTTTTATTAAACATCACAAGGAAATGACTAATCTGACGAGAAACAAAGGCATCAACACTCCACAGCATGTTTGTAAACCACAAATCAGACTGTGTTCTGAAAATAACTTGTTTAGAAGATGGCCTAAAAGGGCCTGTTTTTAGGTTACTGTTAACTTTTTGTGCCGTTTTTTGTTACTTGTAATTGGTTTTCCTCCATATCAAATCAATGATTAGTGTTGTTTTTTAATCATTTTATTGGGGGCACACACAGCTCTTATCACAATCCATACATACATCAATTGTGTAAAGCACATTTGTACATTCATTACCCCCATCATTCTCAAAACATTTGCTCTCCACGTAAGCCCCTGGCATCAGCTCATTTTTTCCCACCTCTCCTGATTTTCAACCATGTAGTATTCCCTTCTTGTTTGCACAACAGCTTCTTGATCCATGTACAAGTTCTGAATGAGCACAAGGCCCAGTCCGTAATTCCTATTCTTCTCAAGGTTATCCACAGTTTATTATGGTCCGCACAGTCGAATGCCTTTGTGTTGTCAATGAAACAAAAGTAAACATCTTTCTGGTGTTCTCTGCTTTGAGCCAAGATCCATCTGACATCAGTGATGATATCCTTGTTCCACGTCCTCTTCTGAATCCAGCCTGAACTTTGGCAGCTCCCTGTTGCAGGTGAGGGGGGATTAAAATGGGGCCTGTGGACGTCAGTAGGCACACTTTTCCCAGAACCCACAGGCCAACAACTGACTCTTCCCATTTGTGAAGAAAAAAAATGGATGAAAGGGAAACTTGGAAGAGATTATTCATACAGGGCTAATAAACTGGGCACGGTAACTCTCGGCCTGATAGTGCTTAAAATGCAGTGCACGCATATTCTGTGAATGCAGAGGTGCACAACCTCATTAACTCTGCAACTTTGGAAGCTGGTGCCAAGCCATCCTTGTCCTCCCCTTCCCAGAGCAAGGAGGCAGGATCCACCACCCCAAGAATGCGCCTCAGAGCCTCTGTATATGGCGAGTTTGTCGTAAGCAGTCAGCCCAACGGATGCAGACGCGCCCGCCACACATCTGTAGGTGCCCACGCAAATCAGGATAGATGGTTCCCCAAAAAGAAGCCAGAAAAAGGCAGAGACAGAGAGCAGTGTGTGTAGGACACAACAGTGTTGAGGGGAGGAGTGTATGTATGGTTAATATGTGCTGATTTCTTAAGATATAAAATAAGTCCCCTCAGGAACATGGGCTAAGATAGAAGCATTCCTGAAGGCTGTGTGACCAGAGGACACAGACACACATCACACACCTGTCTGAGGGCTGCACGCTGCCTGGTGATAAGACACATCTTCTAAGAGATGGTGCTGGGTCCCCATGGGCGAGCCGCTAAGTGAATGGGGTTCCACTGAGAACCCATGGCGCTCAATGAGCCCCTCACAGATCAGCTCCAAAGAAGCCTGTCCCCAACAGAACTGTCTGTTTCTTTAAGCTGCTGTGGGCTGATGAGAGTGGACTGAACCTCCGTGGGCTCCACAGCATGTGCATATCCATCTTGCCCAAAGCCCTGGAGTGTCTCCGCTGGAACCAGCATGCCTGCTGCAGTCCATGAGACACCACAGGCCCAGGGTGCGCTTTTCTTCT